GGGTGTCCCTCTCCCCCTGTTCTGGAATAGATTTGCTGCCCTGTAACAACACTTTCTAAACTGTAGTTTTGGGCCTCCTGGGGCGCAGGGAAAGTGTCTGCCCTGTGAAGCTATTAGCAGCCCCTGAGCCCCGAGTTCCATCTGGCCCAGGGCGTGACCCCCAAGGTGCAGCAGCCCCCACCCCTCAGCAGTGGGTTTCTGGGGATCCGCCTGTACCCCCCACTCTGAATTGGGAGTCCTCTCATCCGCACACCTCTGGCCTGCGCCCCAGCTCATCTGTACATAAATAAATCTTAAAAAAAAGGACTTTAGAAAAATGTCTTTACAATAAAGTGAAACATTTAGTTTCACGTCACATGTGATCCCCTTCGAAGGCGTGAACTGTATTAGAAATTTTAAAAAGCCATCTTTGATTTTAGGGTGTCCCTTTGCCATAAAACAAAGTAAGTGGTGAGTGTCCACCGGCCCCTGCATCCTGAACAACTTGTCCGCGTGACCTCCCCAGGCGCTTCCAGCCTTCAGCCCCGGCCGGCCGCCCGCGCCCGGCTGCATGGGCTCCCAGCTGGGCCGCTGACCGGATGGTGACACTGGGGCTCGGTGGCCTCACAGAGAAGCTCCATCTCCTGGCAACTTTGGGGTCCCGATATCCTCCTTTATTACTCTCCAGAAGAGAATCTGCAGACCCCTAGCCTGCCCCGTTTCTGGCACAGGGAGCCAGGCCCCTGGTGTCCCCCACCAGCCTCCGTGCCCTCTGGGCACTGATGGCCCTGACCGCACCCCACCTGGCAGACGGCAAGCTGGGGTCCCTCTCCGGCAGCTGCACCCAGGACTGGCGCTGACCGCCGACACCACTGCTCCATCCTCGCCCCCGCCCCCAGACCTTCACAGCCCCCCAGACCCTCGCAGGAGACGTGGCTGGCTGTGGTCGCTGGGTTTATTCCTGCCCTGCGCCTGGGCAGGGCAGCAGACTGGGCGCAGAGGCCGGGCGGCGGGGTCAGCGGTAGTGGTCGGGGACGGCGTTGCCCGGCAGGAAGTAGCGCTGCAGAGCGGGCTGCAGGGGCCGCGGGGGCCGCGGGCGCGCTGGCCTGGGCCAGTCTGGGGGGAAGGGCCGCAGCTCCACGCGGGGCAGGGGCAGCTTCAGCATCCGGATGGGGTGGTCTGCGCGCCAGAGGTCCTGGGACAGCCGCTGGTCTGCGGGCGGCAGGGCGGCCACCCTCAGGAGCGGCCACGGCCGGGCCGGGCCGAGCTGGAGGGCCCCAGGCTGGGCTCGGGCGCTCACCGCTCAATCTCCAGGGGCTCTTCCAGACGCTGACCTCCTGGAGCCGGGGGATGGGGTGGTGCCTGGGGGGCGGGGACAGTGAGC